ATGCAACTGTTCAATTTGCCTATGTCTATTACATCCATGCCAACATACAGAGACACTGCTATGGTTTGGATATGAAGTACTGCCCCCAACATTCAGGTGTTATGGACTGGTCACTAACAAGTGAGAGAGTAGATCTTAAGAGCCATTATATAATCAATGGATTAGCCCAAAGATGCAATCACATCTTTATGCCCATCCTGGAGTACTGCAAGCTCTTGAGATGAGACCTCGTTGGAAGAAGTAGGCCACTGGGATAATGTCCAAGGAGATGATATCTTTTCGCTGGCTTCTCTCTGCCTCTCTGTCTGCTTCCTGACTTCCAGGAGGTAAACAGCTGCCTCTTCCTCCCTATGTTCATTACTACAAGATTCCCCTCCCTGAGGCTTAATGCAATAAAGGAGGTGACCTTGGACTAGAACTCCAGAAACCATGAGCAGAATAAACCTTTGGTTTATTAGGACATTTTTATTAAGTGTTTGTCCCAACAACAAAAAGTCTTGCTAATCCAAACACAATTCTTGTGATATTAAAGAAAGAGAGAAATGGTATTCAACTAAGAAAAAACACCAATTGTTTTCAAATGCAAAGTCAGAGAAAAACACCAGTTTGGAAGAAAACAGTGAACTAAGCTTAATACAGACAAAGAAAGAAGCACCTGTTCTAAGGGGGGGGGGGGGGGAGTTAGGGGGAGGAGCCTCCTCAGGGAAAAGCTGGTCCAGAAAATGAGATGCCTGGCTGCTTATCTTCTACAAAGATGATAAATTCTAAAAATAAACAATGAGCATGGAGCATGGGAACCACAGCAATGATGTACTCCTTAGACTCATGTTAGATGATTAAAGATAAATAGTTCTGAGCATGAGGTGGGAAACTCAACACATTCTTTTCCTGCCGATGCCTATTTTGCATCTCTTGTTCTGTTACTTAAAAAATAATAATAATAATAATCAGTATGTCACTTATCTGGCTTCAAATATAATTTCTGGCAAAGTTATAGTTTTATATTATGGACAGAGGGAAGAAGGAGCAATATAAGCATGTATAAAATATACACCTGCATGTGCAGACACAGCTTAGAGCTAAGTTCTGTGCATCTCACCCTTACAAATTTATTATCAAGGAGTCCAAGTGCTGGTACCATAAGTAAGAAAAAAAAAATCTTTCAATTTTAAACTTGACTACATAATAAGCAATATTCATTTAATCTCAGAGCAGTTATGTATGCCTCAAAGTGTGTAGACCTTCAGAAGCCAAGCATGAAAAGACTAAAGGAGGCTGAAATTGAAAAAAGAGAAACATTACCACTGCACATTGTCAATTGCTGTATTTCCTTAAATGGAAATAGCATTTACAGCAGTAACTGAACACTAATGGATGGCCTGGAGATTAAGGCTAAGTCTTTGTGAACATCTGGGATTATTTCATTTGGATAAAGTGCCAAAAAGAAAGGTGAAATTCTGAGTTGGGTCTTCTATCTGAAGAGAAATAAACTCTACAGAGAGAGAGAGAGAGAGAGGGGGGGGGGGAGACTGATCTGATGGGTTACTAGCGTTTACACTGGGGATAATAAAAAGCTTTCAGGTCAATGTCCTTACTTCTCCCACAAAATTCTGCAGTTAGGCTATTACTCGATATAAATAACCTCAGATGAGTCTGAAAATTGGGCTATGAAAAATACCCTTGCCCTACAGTAGCAGAAAAGGAGATGGTGGCAGAACGTGGAACAGCAGCAACAGTGGTGGAACCCTGTCTGTTATGATAACATATATGCAATAAATCATAGCATACCCATAGAAAATTCAACACTCACAGTATTGCACATCATTTCAAGATATGGAAAATGGCTACAAAGCAATATATAAAGTTAGAAAGTAAAATATTTTCTATATATATATGAAATGCATAATAAAATGTTAACAATAATCCCATCTAGGCATAATTCTTTTCTTTTTGCTTATCTGGATAGATTTTTTATAATAAACATGTCATTTCTACTATGATAAAAACTATTACAGTGTGAAAATGAAGACCAATACACATGAAATAAATTATCTAAGTCTCCATCAGCATATAGGACAGGTGATGGATACAGGATCTGGCTGCATAGGTGTCAATTGGGATTAATTAATATCAATAATTGTGAATAATTAATCTTAGTCTCAATAGTTTCTTTTGCATTGTCTATCAAAGGACATGCTGAAAACAATTTATTATTAATGTCAACGGGTGACCAATAATTACCCTCTTAATGTCATATACACATATTTCCCTCTGCAAACCTTGAAGCTATATTAAAATCTTTCCTAAGTGTTCCTCACATTTGCAATATCACATTTGTAATGATCATGAACTTCCCAGTGTTCTAGAATTTCACTCTTTAGCTTCCTAAACCTTCTGTCATACAAACGTAAATGCCAGCTTTATCTACATCTATTGGTGTAGGAACAAAAAGCATTTTATCCAAAAGCAGCTTGCTGTCAACTTCAGAGACTTTTTTTTTCTTTTCTTTACAATCACGGCATGCTGCCTTAACCCAACTAAACACTAAAGCATGCTGGGCTACCCACACTGCAAATTATGTGGAATGCTCTCCATGTTTTGTGGTTGCAAAAGTACTGATTTTGTGCATCATCCAGTTGAAATTAATGACACATCTGACCTTAAACAGAAATTCCCCAAGAAGCTTAAACTGTACCTGACCAAGATCCTATCAGCTTCAAAAGGCTGTGAACTTCCTAATCAAATATTTCAAATGTGATTTTTTTTTTTAAAGCTAAGCAGACATAATGTAAATTTTGTGGAACTTTTTAATGTATTTCAAGAGAACACAAAAGCAGAGGTTGGGGGAGGTTATGATAAATGCCACTTGTAACAATGTAAACAGCATTTACACCAAATACAAATATATTTCCCAAATACCCAGCAAATTAAAGCCAAATCAAAAACACTCTAATGGGTTATAGGTTCTACCTCTAATGTGCATGCAGATGATAAAATTCTGAAGCATCAGTTTAGAATGTGACTGAGAAATATTCCAAAGGAGGAAGATCTTGTTATCCTGCAGTAATGACTGCAGTAATGTATTGTGGGTACAACCCAATCATAAGTGAGCCACTCTCAAATCAAACAGCAAAGACCATCAACATTGAAGGTGTTTTCACAAAGGTTTGCCTCTAAAATCATCTTTCTAAGTTGTCAACTTGTGAAGAATTACTGGAGGTCATTTATGATGTGCTGGGGAAAAAAAAACTGAATATCATCTTGACAAACCAAGTTTTATCTAGAGATTTACCCACTAATGGCAAATTTTTGAAGCTGAGGAATGTCTGATTCAATCACCCAGTTGTGGGATCACTTTAATAGATAAGTGTGTGTTTAAAATCATTGGTATCTGGCATACTGGTCCAACCTTTATAAGAATTCAAATATGGGTTAGAAAACAGTATTCTTTGACTAAAAAGTTCAAAGATACCAAACCCTAAAAGGAATTTTAACTTCTAATCATTTAGCTCTGCTGTTCTTCATGAATATATATCATTGTGTCCTAGTTTGGCTGTGGCCAGGTGACACAGACATAGATGGCAGAGAGATACATGATACCTGTGACATCATTATAATACCTACATCAACCCATATGAATTCACATATGTGTACAGAGGAAGAATCCCAGAAAGAATCCTTATAAAATATATGTCCCAAGTCAAATCTCAAAGTCACACTAAGTACAGTTCTGGGTGCTCAGTCACAGTCATCTTCAGAACACCAATTCTCACCATCTTGCCTTGAGGCCAGTGATGGGATTTTAAAGTATGTGACTTCTGAGCAAACTTCTCCAAGAATGTTGATTGAAAATTACTAGAAAAATATTGTTTTAAGTTTCAGTTCTAGAATATTTGATAGCAAAGTGGAAAAATTTATATGCCAAGATGAAAACCAATCCAGTATTTTTACAAGTATTAGTGGTTATTTCTGTTATTTCAAAACCTCCATGCTGCGGACTACACAAGTAGCAAGTGTCTTTCCTCCACAAAACTGTATATGAAACAGATACCTATGAAGGATACTTTCTTTAAGGGCTAGTGCTTAATTTTTACTAAGTACAAAGTGTGGGTAGACTTAGGTGATACAACCGTGTCACTAAAATGTGGGCTATGTGGTACCATGCAACACTGAACACAGCTCTGTCAGCGCTTTTGATTTCCATCTGACATCAGATCACCACACTACCTGGAGAACACAGAACACAAGAGGGCAGAGGCCAGAAGGTGAGCATATGGGGGCTTCCTTCACTTATGGGGCATTTGGGAAGAGACCGTGCTTGTAGTGAATGAACTTCCTATTACGTTTTATCAAGTAATTACTTACCTCCCCCATGGGTAAAACTGTCTGAAGTAAGTCATATTATGCAATAAACCAGGGTTTATTTACCATTCTTAGAAATATTACTTCAAAAACATGATGAAAAGCAATCTGTTCCATAAACAAAGAAACTCCTCTTTTTAAAAAGATACCGCTAAACTCACCCCTACCTCACTGGGCGGGGAGAGGTGGGGAGTACATCCTAAGGCAGATACCCATATGTCCTAAGTATTCTAGACTGCCTAAATATTTCATCAAAGACTAAATGACCACACTGAACATTGGGCCAGCACTAGGGAAGATTCCTCATAAAGCTGTGTGGCTGAGATTTCTTTAAAACACTCCAGCGAACACGCTGAGTCTTAGCCCAGAATGGAGAGCCCAGGGCGGGAAAGTTCCCGAGGGTCCCAGCCCTCCGAGAGGCTCTGCTCGCCGGGGGGGCCCGGCTGGAGCGCACGGGATCAAGGAGGCCCGGAGCAGCGAAGAGCGTCGGGCCGCCCCAGAAAGCCGCGGCCCCGCTGGGAGCCTCTCCGGGGCGCTGCCTGCCGAGTCAGCCCGGTGCAGCCGCGGGAATCCGGGAAAGCCGCGCTCCGCGCCACCTAGTCCGCCCGCCCGCCCGCCCGCCCGGGACGCGCTCCCACCTCGCACAAAAGGCGCCGCGGCGGGAGCGCAGGGAGATGCCGGCCGCTCCCTCCAGGAACTTTGAGGACATCGCAGCACAGCTCCGCAGCTCTGAGCCCCTGGCGCAGGAGGAGGCCGAGGCGGCGGCGGAGAGTCGGGGCATCGCCCGGCAGCGCCTCCGCCTAGCCGGCTGCCGATGGCTCCCGCCCCCGGGTACCCAGCGCTTGCTCTTAAAGGCGCCCACTGCCGGTTAGGCCGCGAGGTAAGGGAGAGGAGAGGAGTGGGGAGGAGGCAAAGAAAGAGGGAGGGGCAGCACAGACAGGATCCCGGGAGCCACGGCAGTCTAAACTCTGACTCCTCCCGCTCCAGGACCCCAGGTCACCTCAACCTAAGCTGCCAGACAAAGGCATTCCCAGGGAGTAAGTATTCAGAGGCTCCACTGAGGACGCCTTGCAGCTGCTGGCCCGGGAAACCTCATTTTTGCTTGGACTGACTGCTCACACGCTGTTAAGGTCTTCACTAAACACTCCTATTTCTGGGCCACACACTGAAGTCGCTGGGACCGTTTTTCCTCCCCTGATTGTACAGCCTTCCTTTCTTCCTCATTTTCAACACTGTGGTGAGAGTCTCACCCTTGAGCACTTCAAACTGAAGACCCTTGAACCCCTACCTCGACCGATGAAGGAGTCTTTAAGTGCAATGGCAAATACACCTTGCATTGACTCATGCATACCCTGTTGTTCCCATAGCCACTTGCCAGGTAGCCTCCAACCTGATTGCCAGAACCACTGGCTTTCATGATCATCAAACTGGACTCAGGGAGACCTTAAAAGAAAGCTTTCATCTTCAAATCTCAGTAATACTGCTTTTGAAATGCTGTGTCCAAGTGATAAGTACTGTTTTCCTAACCTCCATCAGCACTTGTGATGGAGGGTCCAGGATGTTCTGAGCATCGGCAGGTGTCCTGAGCCCACAGCAGAAAAGCATGAGGGAACATTCATCAAAAGCTACTCTTCTGTCTCTTGGTTCCAACCCTTGCTTCTCAGTCCTATGGGGCCATTCTGAGATGGACAGGAAAAATGAGGCAATTAGAGGTTATGATCCAGCCTGGTCTCCAAAGCATCAGTCCCAATGAAGGACTCTGAGGGTGCAAATGACATTTTCTAAATCAAAGAACTTGCACCTTATACTCCTAACCTTGATCAATTCGGTTCTTCTCCTTGGATCACTGTAGAGTGCAGGGACTGTAGGCAAGAAGTAGAAGCAGTTTTTGTTACCAGATGGAGAGGAGCTACATCCCAGGTTTTATAAAAAGCAGTGAAGAAGGCTAGCATGCAGCCAAAGTAAAGAGAATAGCATCATAAAATAGGCTAGTCTGATCTAATAATCAGGTCCTAACTCTAAGTGACTTAAGAAAACCTACAGTGAAGAGTGTAGAAATTTATTGGCTTATATATTTATTAAAGACTAATAAGTAACCTAGCCAGGAAAAAAAAATGTCTTTTCAAATTTCCTTTTTAAAAAATTTTTCCTCCAACTAACAGGCCACCAGACTGATAGCTGGGAAGCCAGCATGGGACTGACTCAGGCCCCCAGAATGTGGGTCTCAGCCAGAAGGACTGAGCAGTCTAAGGGACCTCAGACATGGAGCCAGGATGTATCCCGGGTGCACAAAAGGACCTTGCGAACTCATCCCCCATGGAGGGATATAACTGCCTTAATCTAGAGACAGGAGAGAAGCCCTAGTCCCTACTTCACATGACCTGTCAGATCTACATGACCCCAACTGGATATAGGGGATGGCATTCCCCTACATATGGAATTGGGGTGGGGGGATGGGAGGGGAGGGTGGTTAGAGTGCAGGTGAGAGGGTAGAGAGGGTAAAAGGGAGGGAAGGAGGGAAGGAGAGAGGGAGGGAAGGAGGGAAGAAGGGAGAGGGAATTGGGATCGATATGTAAAATAATAAATTTAAAAAAATGCTTTGACTCCAAAATTTAAGTTCAAGGACAAGTTACTGGGGAAAAGGATTTCTATTTTTGTTTTCATAGAAAATGAAAAGCTGTGGATTCCTTCCAGACTAATGTGGTTTGATCAAGCCAGACCACCTGAAACAGAGTACCAGGTGATTCTACATTCAAAACAGCTGGACCAAGCAGCCTTACAGACTACAGCCAGGATTTCTGCATCTTCTTAGAATCCCCCATGACAGCGCCCGTTACCAGCAGGAAGTAGTTTGGAAAGAACGACGCCCAAATTCCCAAATATTGTCTATAAATGTTTGTTTTCATTTAAATGGACTTGGTTATATAAAATAAATATATATATATATAAAAAATTTTTCCTCCAAATGTTTAAAGGATGACTTTAAGAGTCCGTTTCTTTTCCCATCTTGCCTGTGTTTCCATTGTATTATTCTGTTTTCTCTAAACAGGAGCAAGAACCTTATCTCCCTAACAGCAGATGCCTTCAACAATTGAGCAAGCAAAGGAGAATTGAACCACTGGGATCCTGTGAGTACCTCTGAACTGACTATTAGAACCACAAGATGGAATGTACACTGCCAGGCTGGGGTCTTTTGCCTGTGTCTGAAACAAACAAACAACCAACAACAACAAATGTCAAGGGAGTTAGCTGTAATATACCAGTTTCCATATACACCCAAACCACAGGTACTGAGTTAAGGACATTCCCTAAAGGGAAATTAAAGTGTTGCTAGTCAAAGTGTAAGTATATCGACTATATGTACAGCATAGATACACAGTTCAACCCCCTTTCTCCAGCACCTTACATATATTGACCCAGATACTGATTGCCCCCTGTGTGTAACAAAAAAAAAAAAAAAATGACCCAGAGACAGATATTGGGGTTCAAGCTGAAGATCAGGGAAGCAAAGCAGCTGGCCGCTAGCCCTCACCTCAAGCTCAGACTGAAAGGGCTGATCCATGCACAAACTCTTCACCAAGTCTCAAACTGTTGGCTCTCCTCAGTGTGGCTGGAGAACAAATGCCCCTCTGAGATCTTGCTGCTGTCTTATATATTTCCATAATGTTGGGATTAAAGGTGTGAGCTATAACTCTCTTTTAGACTGATTCACTGTTGTATAGATCTGGTGCACCTTGGACTCACAGATATCCATCTATTTCTTAATCCTGAGTCCTAGGATTAAAGGTGTGCACCACCAACTCCTAGTTTCTGGCTGCCGGGATTAAAGCTTTCTATAGCTGGTGGCTAACTTTGCTTTCTGAATCCTCTGACAAGCATTAATAAATCATAAATAACTATACCTGTGTTCTTTACCAGTAGTCTTAAGATTGAAAGACAAGATTATTTATGGTCATGAAGGCAAAAGCTACTGAACCTGGTAGCCAAGTCCTCAGTAGTCATTGGGAACATCCTCGGTGATGTGTAACAAACTATGAACAAACTTTATCTGAAGCAGTTTATTTGATTATTCCCCCTAACTTACGGTACCTTTGCCAACATACATCCCAGCCCCTAATCATTGTTGGGCCTTACCTTTTTATGCCATCCATCCTACTACACACCAGTCTATAGAAACTTTGTGCATATATATAGTTGTTAACAGGAAAAAATAAAGTTCATGGATAATCACAAGGACACAGGGCCCAACTTCATTTTTATTAATAACTATTCTATCTTTTCAGGGCTAGAATGGAGAAGTTGATGTTTTCCTACCCAAAATACCAGTTTCCAGGCTGGGGAGATGTGGATAAAAGTGGTTGTTCCCCAAGTCTGATGAATTCAGTTTGAACCCCAGGACTGATGGCAGAAGCAACTCTCAACAAATTCCTCTCTGACCACCACCACACAGTTGCCACAGCATGAATGAAGTCACGCTCATACACACATAGACGGCAACAAAAGTTAAATATGTCAACTTCCACCTGCTTCTTCCCACACCTGCAGCTTTCTATTCTTCACAGATCTAAACCATTTTTTTCTTTTCATTTGTAAATGTTATAGAATTCCTTACATGTCATATCTGTAAATCTAGAAGAAACTTTAGGGTAACCTAAAACTTCCCTTTCATTTAAGAAATAAAGAAATTCTCAGCAGCTGGCTTGTTCAGGGCCACAGGGCTGTTCTTTGTATGAGTTGTATGCCTCCTTCTAAATGTACAGAAGCAGTAATGTAGACTGTGATCATAATCCTCATGAAATTAAATTTAGCTAAGGAGACATATTGCTGTTAAATAAGGATCAGGATAAACAAATAGGCCGAATAGATGTTTATTCAGGGAGAAATAACTTACAACCTAGACAGATGAACACCAGCAAGTTCCACGGGATGCTCTCTTCTCTGCGACTCACCAGCAAGAGAGCGTTCCCAGGCTCCTCCTCAGACCTCCTTCCACAGGTCACTGGTGGAGCCAGGGGTGGAAGTGACCTGTGGAAGGAGACAAAGTGAATATCCCACTACAGAAACATGAGCCTCCAACACATAAACCAATTAGTGAGCATCACAATGTATCATATAATTTGGTGTAAAAACAAATAGTTAGGGGAGATGTCTCCACCAGCAAAGCATTTGTCATGCATACATGAATTCAGATCACCAGCACCCATGGAAAAGCCAGGCATGGCAGGATGAGCCTAGAATTCCAGACTGCAGAGCAGAAACAGGAGGACCTCTGGAACTTGCCAGTCAGCAAGTGAACTCCAGGTTCAGTAGGACACACTATCTCAACGATAAGTTGGAGAAGGATTCAGTCATGATATTGACCTCCACCCTCAATGTACATATCCACACATATGTACACACTTGAACATATTCACACATGTATGATAAGCTCTGTGTGTTATGAATAGCTATCAGACCATGCCGGGGGAACTCAAAGAAACAGCCGACCTGAGCAAATGAAAGCTCACAAAACCCAGACTGACAGCTGGGGAACTAGGCCCCCTGAATGTGGCTGTCAGTTAGGAGGCCTGGACAATCTACAGGGCCCCTGGCAGTGGAAACAGTGTTTATCCCTAGAGCACGAATCAGCTTTGGGAATCCATTCCCTATGGAGGGATACTCTTCAGCCTAGATACACAGGGAAGAGCCTAGGTTCTGCCCCAAATGATATGACATACTTTGATGATCCCCCATGAAAGGTCTCACCCTTCCTAAGGAGTGGATAGGAGGTGGGATGGGGGGTTAGTTAGTGAATGGGAGGAAGGGAAGAAGGGGGGAAAGATTGGTATGTAAAATAAGATTGTTTTTAATGTAAATAAAAA